CAAGCGTACATCAAGCAGTATCACACCACTGGGCTCACCTGGAGCAAAACGGTGAGCGCAACCCACATCTCTATTCCAGGTGCCTCGGGGTGGTTTCCCTCGTCTGTTTAACAGAGAGCCTAACTGGGCGTTCTTTTTCCCCTTATCCTTCCAGGGACCTCAGCCAACTGATGCAGAAAACGGATCTCGGGCTCCTGTTCGTCGTGGCCCACCACCTCCTCCCCCTGGCCCTCCTCCCCCTCCAGCCCCCGCCTCCCCAAATGCTGGGTCAGATTCCTCTGCCTCCCGTTCAGCGCTTTTTGCTCAGATCAATCAGGGAGAAGCCATCACTACTAGTAGGTGGATTGGTTCATTCAGCCACAAGGGGAGCTAGCCCCGATTCTGGAAGCTAGCTAAATTCTTAAGGCATTAAAAAAAAAAAAAAGAGAGAGTCCTGGATGGAATTGTTCTTCAGTCTCCTATGCAGGGGATTAGTCCAGGGCAGGGGTAGGCAACCTTGGCTCTTTTATGACTGGTGGACTTCAACTCCCAGAATTCCTGAGCCAGCATGGCTGAGCATGGAAACCTCTCCCTTTCCCCTCAGCATGGCTGGCTCAGGAATTCTGGGAGTTGAAGTCCATGAGTCATAAAAGAGCCAAGGTTGCCTACACCTGTTTTAGGTCAGGGGTCTTCAAACTTGGCCACTTTAAGACTTGTGGACTTCAACTCCCAGAATTCCTGAGCCAGCATGGCTGAGCATGGAAACCTCTCCATTTCTCCTCAGCATGGCTGGCTCAGGAATTCTGGGAGTTGAAGTCCACGAGTCATAAAAGAGCCAAGGTTGCCTACACCTGTTTTAGGTCAGGGGTCTTCAAACTTGGCCACTTTAAGACTTGTGGACTTCAACTCCCAGAATTCCTAAGCCAGCATGGCTGAGCATGGAAACCTCTCCATTTCTCCTCAGCATGGCTGGCTCAGGAATCCTGGGAGTTGAAGTCCACCAGTCATAAAAGAGCCAAGGTTGCCTACTCCTGGTCCAGGGGATAAGAGTTTCTGCAGGGCGCAGTTTTAACTGCATTCCATAACCCAGTTTTGCTTGTTTAACAGGTTGCAAAATGTCACAAATGTTAATTCTCTTATGTGGACAGATGGTCGGTGGGGCTAAAGATAGCAGCATTTGTATGTTTCCAACTGAAGGCCAATTAATGTCTTTTGAACAGTACCTTGGCCTTAAAATTGCACCAAACCAAGGGCTTGGAAGGAGATTCCGGGAGCAGATTGAGCCGAAACTAGTCCATGTTTGCACAGCCTTTTGAGGAAATAGTGAAACTAGAGTTACATTTCCTAAATCTGCAGCCATGGTAACATAACCAGTAGAAATAATTTGAACCGTCGCTTACATCTTTGGAACTCTGCCAATGATGCTTCCCCATCCTAGGCTTGAAACACGTGTCCGATGAGATGAAGACCCACAAAAACCCGTCGCTGAAAAGCCAAGGGGGTCCTGTGCGAACGGGGCCCAAACCGTTCACGGCTGCCAAGCCTACCTGCACAGTCAACGTTTCCTCCAAACTGCCCACGAAGAAGGAGCCCCCCATGCTGGAGTTGGAAGGCAAGAAGTGGAGAGTGGTGAGTCCGCAGCCTTTCACCTTGGCACCCCCTGGGAAGCTGGTTCTTTTCCAAGAGAACCTCCTCAGTTTAAAAGAGTCTATCAGACAGGAGTGCGGGAAATCGCTTTGCTTGCACGAGAGCGTATAAATTGTGTCGATGTTATAGTTCCGAAAAGAAGCAGCTTTTCAAAGAACTTTGAGACTTTATTTACCTTAAAGAATCCTTTTATTGCTACATAGCCTCCGCACGTAGGTAATGAAGCCAAAAACTGAATCCTCCCACCCCCAATCACCCTTAACAAAGCATAACTCACTCCTTCATTTTACAGTCATTAATCACGTTCTCCAATTAGTCTGAAGTGTGAACTTTCCCTCCCGTAACTCCTCTGGTTACAGCTGACCTTGGCAATGCTGTGCTGAAATATTGTTGTGGTTAACTATCTTACTTTCCTACCCGCTATCCAGTGTTTCTCAACCTTGACAATTTTAAGGCAGGTGGACTTCAACTCCCAGAATTCCACAGCCAGCATTGCTGCTGGCTGTGGAATTCTGGGAGTTGAAGTCCACCTGCCTTAAAATTGTTAAGGTTGAGAAACACTGCTATTCTAACATTGTCTGACTTTAACTCTAGAAGTGATATGCAGGCTAAATAAAACATGTTTGCTTCTTCATATATGGCAAGCAATAAATAACATCCGATGTTAGCAGTCTTGACAGTCGATACAAAAAAGNTTAGTTAAATTAAAATGGTTGTTTTTTTAAAAATTGGGTTGCCTTGGTTATACTGCTGATGAAATGGCAAGGCTTATTTTCTGTTTTCTCTTCTTGTAGGCCCCCAAGCCAGGCCCTTATGTGAAGGAAATGACAGATGCCGCCATGTTTTATAGCAACCGGGTCCTCAAAGAATACAAAGATGTGTAGGTTTCCTTTCGGAACGCTGCAAGTAGCCTGTTTCTCAGCCAGAAGTAACTGTGGATGCAGGGTCACATAAGCCCCGTGCCCCATATTTTTTAACATGCTTAACTAAAGTTTTACTGGTTGATCTCTGGGGAGGTACAAATACATTATCAATGCAGGTAGTCCTTGACTTATGACCGTAACAGAGCCTGCTCATTACAATTGTAAGTTGTGACAGTCATAAAGCGGGGCACCATGTGACCGGATCCATTTTTATTATTTTTTTGGGGGGGGAGGGCATTGTTCAGTATTTGGCATTTTTGCCCCAAACCAGAAGTAAATGCCAATTTTTGGTAAAATATAAATCATGATCACATGACTAAGGATGCTGCGTACTGCTGGGGGCTAGCAGTATTTCTCTTTCTTTCTTTCTTACTTACTTACTTACTTACTTACTTACTTACTTACTTACTTACTTACTTACTTACTTATTTACTTATTTACTTATTTACTTACTTGGTTTCTCTTTTTCCTTCCTTCCTTTCTCCTTCTTTCCTTATTTATTTCTCTTCTTTCTTTTTTTCTTACTTATTTACTTACTTGGTTTCTCTTTCTTTTTTCTTCCTTCCTTTCTTTCTCCTTTCCTTATTTATTTCTCTTCTTTCTTACTTACTTACTTGGTTTCTCTTTCTTTTTTCTTCCTTCCTTCCTTTCTTTCTCTTTTCCTTTCTCTTTTCTTTCTTTCTTTTCTTTCTTGTTTGTTTACTTGCTTGCTTTTTATTTATTTCTCTTCCTCTTTCTTTCTTACTTGGTTTCTCTTTCTTTTTTTCTTCCTTCCTTCCTTCCTTCCTTCCTTCCTTCCTTCCTTCCTTCCTTCCTTCCTTCCTTATTTTTTCTTTCTTTCTTTCTTTCTTTCTTTCTTTCTTTCTTTCTTTCTTTCTTTCTTTCTTTCTTTCTTTCTTTCTTTCTTTCTTTCTTTCTTTCTTTCTTTCTTTCTTTCTTTCTCCTTCCAAAATGCAGTCACATGACCATGGGATGTGGCCATTGGGACTGGGTCATAAGTAGTTTTTTTTGGGGGGGGGGGGTGTCTGTCGTAATTTTGAAAGGTTGCTAAGCAAATGGTCCTAAGTGGAGGACTACCCGTAACCCAACTGCAAGAAACAAATGTACAGCTAAAGAGCAAAGGCAAGACTCGTGAATAAAGCCTCTTGCAGTGGGAGTTTTGCTATCTTACTAAGTTTTATCCACTGGACATTTTAAAATCCAGCAGACTAAGACAGCCTGTCGTTGGCCTGAGGAAAGCAGGAAAAAAAATTGTTCTAGGAAAATTGCGTGGCAAAAAATTAAAGTCCATTTGTGAAAACCTATTGGGGGAGGGGGAGATATTAGAAGGAGATTCCCTTATAAATATATTGAATATCGAACGTTAGGTTGATTCTCCTGCTAAAAAAACTCTGAGGAGTCACTTTATCCAAGCAGTTCAGTCTGTACAATAGGGCCCCTTTTATAAGCAGAATTTCAGGTGGACCAATTAGGGTGTCTGGGTCTTATTTCTCTAGTGATAAGAAGCACGTGGACTGGGTGAAGACTTATCTCAGTATCTGGACTGAGCTTCAAGCGTACATCAAGCAGTATCACACCACTGGGCTCACCTGGAGCAAAACGGTGAGCGCAACCCACATCTCTATTCCAGGTGCCTCGGGGTGGTTTCCCTCGTCTGTTTAACAGAGAGCCTAACTGGGCGTTCTTTTTCCCCTTATCCTTCCAGGGACCTCAGCCAACTGATGCAGAAAACGGATCTCGGGCTCCTGTT